ACGAGCTGAGACCCCCCTCCTCCCCCCCTCTCTGTGTTCCAGTGTTGACAACAGCGAGTACATGAGGAATGGAGACTTCTTACCCACTCGCCTGCAAGCCCAGCAGGATGCTGTCAACATCGTGTGCCACTCCAAAACCCGCAGCAACCCCGAGAACAACGTGGGGCTCATCACCTTAGCCAAGTACGCCGGGGTCAGGGGGGTCCAGGGCTCCTGGCAAGCACATGGTGACCCTGAGGAGCCACTTTGGGGACCCGTGTGAGGGAGCAGGGACAAAGAACCAGGGGAGTGTTGGGAAATGGGGCAGCAGCAGCACAGTCTGAGCCCAAACCAGTTCTTCCAGGAGGACTGGTAGGAGAGAACCCGGATCCTGAGCGGTCTCCAGCTCGTGGGGGTGGCTCCTGCCATGCCAGGATACATCCTGGAGGCTTTTTTCTCTCAGGAGCTCTCTGCCAGACCCGTCCTTTTGTGGCCTTGTGTCCCAAAGGGTGACAAATAGGGGCTGAGCTGGCACAGCAGCTCCCAGGCAGCCCCAGGAGAGCGGGTCCTGCCTTTTCCTGAACTCTGCGGGATTTCAGTGCCTCTCTGAGCTCCCTCTTAGGTGGAGTCGATGAAAATTGCCCAGTGGGCTCAGGGTTAGTGGGACAGGGGACAGAGCCACGCACAACCCTTCACACAGACAGATTACTTTGGGTTTTTTGGGGTGTTTTTTAGGAAACCAGGTTAAAAGTCCTGCTCTGTGTACACACAGCCCCACCGGCGCCGCGTGCTGCAGGCTCCTGGAGCAGGCACAGCCCTTGGTGTGGGGTGGGAGGGAGGATGGTCCTTATTCCCCTGGTAAATAAAGAAGTTTGCAGAGAAATCCTCCCAGCAGAGGTGTTTGTGTCGCAGTAACTGTGAAGTGTTGACCACGCTGACGCCGGACACGGGCCGGATCCTGTCAAAGCTGCACACGGTGCAACCCAAAGGGAAGATCACCTTTTGCACGGGGATCAGAGTCGCTCACGTAAGTTGGTTCCTCACCAGCGAGTCTGCTCCCTTCTCTGTGATTCCTTTTCCCTCAGCCTGTCCTGTTGATGGTTCAGACACGGGGAATCTTGTTCCCTCCCTGCTTTACAGCATCAATCCCAGAGTGGTGGGGTTGGAAGGGACCTCAGGAGATCATCCAGTCCAACCCCCCTGCCAAAGCAACACCAGGTCACACAGGAAAGTGTCCAGGTGGGTTTGGAACATCTCCAGAGATGGAGACTCCACACCCTCTCTGGGCAGCCTGTCCCAGTGGTCACTGAACAATAATGAGCAAAACATGTTGATTTTTGCCTCAGTTTCCCTATTTACAAAACACAGATGAAACCTGTTTAAAGGTTCCAATAAACCCGATCTAAAAGCTCAGAAGTTTTATAATCTGGTCCTGGTTTGCTTCAGAGGAACCTGGCAGCTTCTTCACAGGAGTTCAGCCGAGTTGCACAGCCCTTCCCACCCCGAGGAGAGCAGAGCCCCCAGCTGAGGAGTGTCCCCCAGGATGTGGCCAGCCCACCCTTTGTCCTTGCTCTGTCCCACACCGTCTGTACACAGTGATGAGGGGCTGGGGGGGCAGGGGGCTGCCCCCTTTTTCCTTCCTGAGGATTGCTCCCTGGCTGCTCCCTCATTATTCCCTGGCTGCTCCCTGATTTCTCCCTGATTTCTCCCTGATTTCTCCCTGATTTCTCCCTGATTTCTCCCTGATTTCTCCCCGATTTCTGTCTCTCAGCTGGCGTTGAAACATCGCCAGGGCAAGAACCACAAGATGCGAATCATCGCCTTTGTCGGGAGCCCGGTAGAAGACAACGAGAAAGATGTGAGTAGTGACCAGTGGAAAGAAAATACACCAGGTCTGCTTTGTGCTCCCCCCTGAGCCATAAATGGGTGTTTGGTTTGTTCCCTGCCTCGGGTGGAAGGTGGAGGGTGGAGGGTGAAGCTTTGTACCCCGGCCAGGGGGCTGCTTGGCAGAGCAGAGCGATCCCCAGCTGGGAGGAGAGGGAAGGGAGAGGGAGGCCGGATCCCTGGGCACAGCCAGGCTGGGGACAAGAGGACAGGATCCAGATCTCCTGCTGGTTTGTGTGGGATTATGTCCCTGTGCCTCCTGGCTGTCACCTGAGCCACTCGGGGCTTTTTCCCTGAGGAGCTGGGGGAGGAAATCTGTGTCCCTGAGCAGAAAGAACCCTCTCGGACTTTGGAAGATGCTGTTCTGTTCTCACTGAAAATAACACAAATGAAGTGAATCCAGATGGTTTAGGTCTCTCTGAAAAAATCAGCTCAGAACTGTGAGGAGATGGTGCCTGTCCCAGGCTTTTGCTGTCCCCATCGATGGGGACAGTCACTTGCTTTGGCAGGAACAGCTCCCTCACTGTGCCACCCTGCAGCACGGTGTCATAGCTCCTGTCCCACCTAGAGAGGTGAAATACCTCAAACACTTGAGTCTGGGGAGCTGATTGTGGCCTTTGTGCCTCCAGGGTTGAATCTTTAGCTCTGTTGTTTGGTTTCTGATGAGCTGAGCTTGGGGAAGAACCAAAAATCCAAGCTAATGCCACAAGGTCTCTTTATTGCAGCTGGTGAAACTGGCAAAGCGTCTGAAGAAAGAGAAAGTCAACGTTGACATCATCAATTTTGGAGAAGAGGTGAGAGTTCTGCTGCGTTTCTGACACAAAACCCAGGGCAGGATTTGATATCCCATCAAACCTGGAGCCTTTACGTGAGGACACGAACTTGAGCCTCAGCAAGGGCCCAGATCTCCCCGAGCACTCGTGGGTGGGTACAGGGGTTGTTCCCGTGAGCTGTGGGTGTGTAAATCCTCTGTCCTCACGGTTCTTCTTCTAGAGAAGCTGTGGCTGCTCCTCCCTGAGCCTCAGCAGCTGCCCCAGTGAAGATGCTGGTGTGGAGAGGGAGGTTTCCCTCTGGGAAGACACCTCTCCCGTTTCACTGGGGGCGGAGTGACATAGCAGAGCTCTTGGTTCCCCTGAGAGCGCGGGGTGCGCGGGGCAGGCGGCGATGTCCCTCTGGCCGGGCACAGCTCTAGTCCCAGCCTTTCTCTCTGGCCCTAGGAAGCCAACACGGACAAGCTGACTGCCTTCATTAACACCTTAAATGGCAAAGATGGCACCGGCTCCCACCTGGTGACAGTGCCACCAGGGCCCAGCCT